ATATATATATATATATTAAGCGTAGATCAATAACAAAGATAATTCTTTTTTTCTTTCAACAATTTTAAATCTTTAAGAATATGGTATGAAGACAAAAATCTTTAAAAAGCTATAACAACGACTCATATACTTGAGGGGTTAATTTCAATCTAAAAATCTTTAAAATACCTTATTTCTGGTGAAAATATTTTATAAAAAAAACTTGAAATAGCATATTAATCTTTGAAGATTTACCCAAAAAAAAAGTCATTACTTTGAAAAATCAAGTGGAGAATTTACTCTTCAAAATAAACTAAACACTCATATTATAGGCACAATTGAAGTTGTTCTCTAGTCAAAATTATAGTTTCACTTCAGTAATATTCAATTATATTTAATACAGTAATATTCAATTATATTTAATACATATATTGATGTGAAACTCTAATTTTGATTGAAAATGAACACAAACAATACTTATGATATTATATGTAAATTTTGTCCTTAAATAAGATCAGTGAATTAAATGAAACCCATGTAAAGAGATTCAAAGTTTGACAGATATTGTTTAGACATTAAAAGAATTATGCATTCATTTTATGATACGTTTGCAAGAGGGACATTATTTTTAATTGAAAATCAACAAAATATTAAAATAAAATAAAAATCTTTTTGTTAAGTGCCCTCACTACTTAATAATGATCATTGAACACTTCTCTGTCCATCCTTTTTATGTGAGGATCTAAAGAGTTCGACCTCCTCAAGGTCAACATGGATGACATAAGTATATAGAGTTATCAAATCTAAACAAATTAAAATTTCGGGTAATCGTGAAGAGATATATATTTTGCTGAAAATTTTCTAATTAGGAATCAAAGCTAATGCTGCCAATGCCATTTTCTAAAGTCTCTTAGAATGGGCTGATGCATAATTTCTTGTGCATCACACTTCTAGAATATTATTACATCCTTAATGAAACTCTCTTATTAAAGAACGACCCTTTAATTAATTAGCAATAGATTTTCCTTTTTTTTTACATAGTTAATACTATTGTATTCAAGAGACAAAACTGGAAAGAAAATGGGGTAGAAAACTCTAGTCCCTTTAAAGTATAAGAGTTTCATATATATATATATAAGAGAGTCAGCTTCTTGGAATTTCAGACATAAACGACAGGATCAAGAATTCAGATACAACCTCTCAAGAGTTGTTCTTAGGTTCACATCACTTTTTATATATATATATATATATATATAATTACATCACTAACTAATCTGAAATCATTATATACTTTTAAAAAATATTATTGTAAGAGACAATAACTTTATTATGCATGAAAATCTGTGATTGAGCAACAATGAATAGAATATTTTCTCATAATGATAAGCACTCTGTTTGAATGAAAAATAACAAAATAAAAACAGAAAATATATTTTTTTAAATAATGCATTAAAATATTAAAAGAGGCATGTCAAGATTTTTCATATGCAATTAATACATATAATGTTAAGTTGTCTAACTAGATGTGCTTGTTTTTATCATATATTTTTTGGTGGCATGCTTGTTTTTATCATTTTCTATAGTAAAGAGATGAAACTCAAATTAAATTACAAGGTACCATGCCGAGTTGTAAAACAGTTAATCGTATTAAATTCTTAAATAAATGTTATACGGTTATTAAATTAGTTAAAAAAAACCAAAAATTACTACAATTACACTTATTTTTTGGAAATCAAAATGGTTGATGCCTGCCTATACCCAATAAAATGAAATTTTTTTAAATATGGGTTATTAATTAATGTAGATAAGAGCTACATCAGCCAATCAAACCATTTAAATTAAAAGTCTAACTTATTGAGTTTTTCTGTATATAATTTCTTCGCTGAATTATACATTAAAATCGGAGAAATTGTGCTTTCAAATTTTTGAAAAAATAAATTTAATTAACCTTTAATATCGTGATATTTACAGGAACCAAAATCCATTCAACGCATGTAATTCAATAGCCAAATTACAGTAAACTACCTAAGCAAACACAAACACGACATATAAGTTATTTGATTATATATTCATGATCTTCAACAAACTTTTGAAGATAATGACGTAAAAAAAATGACAATTAGTTAATCAAATTTTAGCACTCTTTACAATATGATAGGAAACATGATAAATAAAACAAATACTACCACTTGATGAAAACCAAAGTTACTTAGACTGAAGGGAACTAATAATTTAGTGAATGAAAAAACATGGTGGCAACCAATGAATCACTAGACCCAAAACATATATTATATATGTATACGTTAATGTTGCGTGCATGGAAGAAAGTTCTATAGTTTTACTGGATATGTATACTAAGCAAAGCAAAAATGGTTAAAGTGGTTAAAGTGCTGGTAAATTTAATTTGCTTCAGTTGCAGACAATGATTACAAAATTGTACTTTAAGGTATGTACTTAGAAGTGGAATTAGCTAGGAAAATGAGAAAGTTATTATGGAATGGTCACTTCAGGAACTTAGGAACTTAGGAACATTAACGGGCCATGTGTTTGAAAAGTAAAAAAAATGACAATGGGACTTGTCTGAATCTAACAAGTGTAGTCGAACAACCGAAAATTTCATGAAAAGATGCAGTACCAAACTTTTGGGTTAAACAAAAAAAATATAAAATGCCATTTTGGATTTCAAGTATAAACAGTTGTGTTATTTTATTCTTTAAATTTTAATTGAATAATTTTAATTTTTAAAATATTATATTTGTGTAATTTTAATTAACTATCATAATTATACAAATTTTTATTTATTTAATATTAATAATTTTAGTAATAATAAATATATATTATTTAATACTTGGATGAAAAATATAATATATATAATTTAACTAGATAAAAGTTATGTAATTACATAGTTAAAAGACTAAAATTATATAATTGTGATATTTGAGGAATTCAAATTATTCGGTTAAAATCTTAAAGAATCAAAAGCGAACGATTATAATACATAGAAGAATAAAAATACAATTAAGAAAAAGCCTATATTTGGAACTAATTAGTAAGAAATATAGATAAAGTAAGGTAAGCTAGTATCTCGTGAAAAGGAATACTTATCTGATTATGTTCATAACTAAAATAAAAGCATATTTAAATTTTGTTTTATGTCTATTAATTTACATAACATATGGTCAATACACATTACATAATTTTAGGAGCTTAGGTTAGACGGTTTTTGTTTTTTTTCACAAAGGTTGAACATGCTATACAAGGAGAAAATAGCAAAGAGAACTTCACAACAATTCGCAAGTCAATCACACAGTTCAATTTGACATTACATATGAACTTAAAATCTTCAAACATTATATTTATGAGTCTTTTTATCATTTATAGGTTACTCAGTATATACATTCAAGAATTATTTAAAAATAACACTACTAAACTCAAGTTTTAAGTCCACCAACAATATAAATATTTGTTAATATGCTTATAAGTTGTACGTCTCATTTAATAAACTTTTCACATGATTTAATAACAAGAGTCACAAAAATTTATTTTTCAACCATAATAAAAATATTAAAAATGGAAAAAATGTTTCTCTATCATTTCTCCTTGAATATTTATATGTTATGGTGATCCAAATTGACATGTCATGAATTTTGTGATATGAGCAGAAGTTACTACCGCTGCACCCATAACAACTGTAGGGTGAAGAAAAGAGTTGAACGACTCTCAGAAGATTGTCGTATGGTGATAACTACCTATGAAGGCAGACACAATCACTCTCCTTGCGATGACTCGAATTCATCGGAACATGAATGTTTCACCTCGTTTTGAACAATTAATGTCGTTTCAATAATTATTCTGTATTAATAATTAATTAGTTGTGACAATTTTTCATCTAAGATATTGTCGTCTACTTATATTGTTAGTCAGCTCAGTTACTCTTTCATGGATGAACTCATTTGTATGTTGTCTATAAAATTTTCAAAATAGAAAAATTAAAAGCCCTTCATGTATATATTTATTTATTATTATAACATATGTATTTCTCCAATGCTTTCCCGTACATATGTGCCTGAAATTTAAGATTTTTAATTTCTTCACAAAGCACGTGCAAATATTTTATTTTTTCTATGAACAATGTCTATGTAATATTTTAAAATTGACAATTGAAAATTAATTTTTGTGGAATCTGATTTATATTGGTTAAATATTATTTTAACATTATGAGAATTCATTCTAAGAACATTAAGTTGATCCTCGTATCCCAAAGATGAAAATAAAACTTAGATACAATTCCTTATTTGTTGTTGGTGTTCTTCTTCCATTAGAGTTAGGTTTTGCCTCAGTATTTTGTACTTACATTAAGTTATTACCAAATATTGAAGAAAAAATTAACATAGGTCGATTATGTTTCAGTTAGTTAGACTTAGTTGTTAAACATTTTGTTAGTTGTTTTTCTTTTTTTTATGTTGATCACACTACTACAAGATGTATTATTTACATCTGTTCTGGAAGGTAATCTACATCGATTATAAAATTGATATGGAATAGAGTGACTTAGAAATACAAATACTTCTACATCGATTTTGAAATCGATGTAAATTTGTGCATAATTTACATCAGTTTTGCTGACAACCGAAGTAGATTTGCGTACAAATCTACATCAGTTATATAAGTAAAACTGATGTAGATTTTACCACAATTCTACATCGGTTATACCAACAACCGATGTAGATGTGTACACAAATCTACATCGGTTCTACTGAAAACTGATGTAGATTGCATTTAAAAAAAAAGCTTCATTTATTTTTTTAAATTCTTTTTGGTTACCTGTATAAACATATATATATATATATCTCAAACAGAAATTGTATGATGCACTATTCTACTCAATTGTGTTGCGATACTACATAAAAGGTGATTATTTATTTCTAGAATATATTTAAGAAATAGAAATCTTTCCTCCGCTCTCATCGGTCTAAAAAGATTCTCAAACATGTCTTTACGGATTTATCTACCCAATCACCACACAAAACAGTGGCATAATTTTGGGATATCAAAATTGTAGTGATTCATAAAATCCACTTGGCTACAAGCAATAAATCTTTTTCTCCTCTAGCAGACAAAAACAATCAAGAGAGACAAGCTATTACATTATTCAGCAGTCATGAATTCCTAACTATCAGAGTCCGAGGTTTACTCTAAGCAATTCTATGTACTGAACCCAAGTACGTTAATTATCTCTATTTCGTTTCCAACCCATGTTCCTTAAATTAGCATGTATAGTTAGATACATAGTAATTTCAACAGGATGAAATATGAACAACTGAATCTTCTTCACTGATGAATTAATAACCAAAACATGATAAACCAAGCTTTAACTACTTAGTTTATTTAATTTTCAGATAAGAAAATAAACTAAAAAATAAAGGCAGAAAATTGTTTAACGGGCCGTTCCAAACATGGTTGTTATGGGTTAAAATGTAACCCCAGAATGGGCCGTTTTGGTTTTAGAACGGGCCGTTCTGGATGTGAAATTTTACACATGACGAAGAGTCCAGAACGGGCCGTTCCGGATTTGAAACGGGCCGTTCTGCCCACTCTTGATACCTATAAATAAAGCGCTCTAGCACTCCCAAAAGGCACACTTTTCATTTCTGACTTTTTTTCTTCTACACTCTCTAAAGACCAAAGGGGAACCCAGCGGAGGAGACCAACCAGATCCTGCTTAGTTTCAACTACTGCTTATCGAGGTACGGGTGAAAAAGGGAGATTTATGTTTAGAGTCACATGAGGGAATGGGTGAAGAAGAGTTCCTGTGGAAATTTTAATAATTTTATAATTATTTATGTTTGAAGAATTATTGGTATTATTAGATTCTGTATGTGTTAAGGATTATGAATATATAATTAATTTGTAAAAATGATGATCTGGGAGAGAGAACGAAATTGTAGTAAAGTGCCTGTGAGTTAGGTTTTGGGAAAAAATTGGGGGTTTTACTATTTGAGTTAAGATTCGATTAAATTGGTGATTCAATTGAGTGTTATATTAATTTATAAATGTTATTGTTATATTATTTGGTAAAATTGGTGATCCAGATATGGAATGTGGTATGATGCCTTCGTACAAATGTATACATTATATCTACTGTTTTAATATTGAATTGATAACATGATATGAGTATGTTGACAAGAAATGAGATGTTGATGTGATATGATTGTGGTTCCTCAGACATATGACCAGGGATGAGACGACCCTAGGTAAGTGATGCTACAAGGATGGCGTGCCCCTGGCATAGTGTGGGATGAGTGAGGCAATTAATACGTATCACTTATGTCTAGAGTGGCACGATGATATATATATATATATATATATGTTGTTTCATTCATTGTTGTGTTATGTTTCTATTTTTCATGCTTGCTTTGGATTAATTCTCCTTTGCTTGATATAGAGTCCATTGGGTATTGGAAAATAACCTTTGAAACTAGCTCTGAAACAAATGCCTAGTAGGAAATGTATCTAGGAATGGAGCTTGCACTAGTAGAAAAATAGTCTTTTACGTCACTATTTTCTCGTCGGTCAAAACAAAATACGACGTAAAAAAGACGCGGTGGCATTTTTGTAGTTTTTGTGAACTTTTTTATGTCGGACTTAATAAGGTCGGACGTAAAATGTAAAATCTACGTCGGAACTACTTGATGTGCGATGTAAATTTTACATTTTACGTCAGACTTGATTATACCCGACGTAAAAAAGGTTTCACCTTCTTTAAATAACATGCTAAGCTGGTAGCTAGGATTCTCTCCGCTGAAGCGTTCGAAAAAATTTTCAGATCTACGCCTTTTGGAGCTCTGGTAGCTACGTTTGTGAGAACGTACGTTTCCTTTTCCCTTTTTTTTATGTATTTTTCGTTTCCTTTTCCTGTTTCCATCTTCACGTTCTTTTCTTCATTTTTTTAATATTATTATTTTAAATTTGCTGGTGGTGAGTTAAATGTGATTTCATAGATGGAGAGAACCAACCTACCCGCGTTACCTAAATGTCAGTAGCATGTTGGCGTGGAGCTGGCTCGATTTGCACTCTCTCCTTTCTTCTGCACCTGGAATGGCCCTTTTTGCAAGCAGAACGGCCTGTTCTCCTTGCAGAACGGTCTGTTCTCCTTGCAGAACGGGTCGTTCTGCTTGGAGAACGGGCCGTTCTCCTTGCAGAACGGCCCGTGCTCCTTGCAGAACGGGTCGTTCTGCTGCACTCGTTATTTTTTTTTTAATTTTTTTGCTACTTTTTTACGTTGGACTTTACAATGCCGACGTAAATTTACGTCGAACCTTATAATGCCGACGTAAATTTACGTCACCCGTTTCAACGTCGGTAACTTTTCCGACGTAAAAAGCTCAAAATAACCGACGTGGAATACCTCTTTTGTACTAGTGTTGGCCCATTAGTAGTCTTAAACCCTAACTCGTAATGTAGGTGTATGTATTGGATACTCAAGGAATTGATATTCATTACTTGCACCTAGGCTCTTGCTCTAAGGGATTAGGTTTGAGTAAACTTATAGGTTAACTAGGCAATGAATGTAACAAGAGAATAATGATTCATCAGTGTGAAGTTTGGTGATATCTGGCCCCACAATCTTACAAACTCACAACACCTTTTCTGTACCTTCCACACACACAATTTATATTGTAGTTTTGAAATTCCAATAGTCATAATCTTAATTTCAAATGCATGACAAACTATGAAAAAATGGAATTATTCTTTAGTCTTAAATAGTCATTAAATGCTTGTTTTACCTAACTAGTCCCTGTGGATATGATTTAAATTTACTACTTGAACGGTTGGTATACTTGCCGTGTTTGAGTCCGTTGTTAGAGTTAAAACGATTTATGATGAGAACAAAAGTTAATTTCAACAAAAATCTCAACAAGTTTTTGGCGCCGTTGTTGGGGACTAGCTAGTAAGACAATTTAGTATTTATAGCTATTTGTGACTTTTACTTTAGCAATTCATTCTTCGAGCTGACTTGTGCACTCTAGCCTTCTATTTCTTTGTATGCAAGACACTATTTGAACTAGAGGGATCAAATCTCTCGAGTCATTGCGAGTGATCCAATGGCTTTAGGGTTTAGGCGCATAGGGTAATACAACAAAATTAATCAAAGTTGGCGCATAGGGTAGGTGTGTTTTGTGTGTTTTCTGGCACTGTCCGCATGTAGGGAGCGGGCTTGAACGTGTAGGGGGCCTGTTTGAAA